ATATGGCATTAGCTATGCCTACCAACCAACATTAGCTCTTTCTAGGTATATGTTTCAGAGGAATTTTAACCATGTACTCAAGGAAATATGCATAATAATGATCAGAGCAGCTTTGTTCATAATTGCAAAATCTAACTACAATCTAAATACCCATCAACACTGATAAACACTGAAGACAAAGTAGAGCTACATCTATCAACATGGATGAACCGCATAGAGAATGATGAGTAAAAAAGCAATTCGCAGATAACTATACAAACATAAATTTTTAAAGCATGCAAAACAAAATGTCATTTATACTAATACATATATAATATGTATTAGTGGGTGGAATCTGGAATCTGGGAGGAAGATTCATGCAAGTTATTTACATTATTCTCTATAATTCTTTGGTATCTAGAACATTTCATAATTCTGTAAGTACAATTAAGCAGAGTTCAAAATTATTTTACAAAACAGTGCTTTGAACAATAGAAATTATATAGAAGTGATTTAAACCTTAGCAAAATTAAGAATCTCTATAATATTCTTTTATTCAGAACAGTAAATAAAATGAGGTAAATATTTGAGTTAAAACTTCAAAATCATTTCCAAAGGCACCACAATATATACAACCTTGAAATAACTGTTTTTCAGGGATAGTTACTGAAAAACAACGAAATGTGTATGACAAGAAATATTTAGTGCTTCCAAGTAGTTCATTATTTCCAGGCTATAAGTAAATCTAAATACACATAGTAGAGATCGATCAAGATGGTAGACTAAGAGGACATGGAGCTCACTTCCCCCCATGAACACATCAAAAAATACATCTACATGTGGAACAATTCTCATGAAAAACTAACTGAAAACTGGCAGATGGACTCCCGTACCACCAAGGCTGTAAGAAAGATACACATGGAAGGGAAGAAAAGTGATTGGGTTGGGACCTGTGCCCATGGGAGGGGACTCAAGAGGAAATGGGAGATTACACAGGTGGACACCCTCTCAGGGGAGTGAGTGGTGAGAGCCATAGATAGGGCACCCCAGTCCTGGAGTCCTACGCAGGGTAGACAAGCCCCCTTGGCTGGCTGGAGGACCACTGGGACTAACAAGAGGCAAAAAGAAAAACAGAAAAAAGGAAAAACGAATTTTAAAAAATGGAAACAGTTTAAGAGATCTACAGAATAACATTAAACATACCAACATTCACATTATAGGGATACCAAAAGACAGAAAAGGGGATCAAAAATGTATTTGAGGAAATTATGGCTGAAAACTCCCCAAACCTGAGGAAGAAAACAGATAGCCAGGTAAAGGAAGCACAGAGGGTCAAAACAAGATGAACCCAAACAGGCCCACACCAAGACACACCATAATTAAAATGACAAAAGTTAAAAGTAAACAGTGAGTTCTGAAGGCAGCAAAAGCAAAGTGTCATATACAAGGGAACCCCCATAAGGCCTATCAGCTGATTTCTCTGCAGAAACTTTATAGGCCAGAAGGGAGTGGCAATGATATATTCCAAGTGCAGAACAGGAAAAGTCTGCAACCCAGGATACTCTACCCAGCAAGATTATCATTTAGACTAGAGGGAGAGATAAAGACCTTCTCAGACAAACAAAAACTAAAAGAGTTCATCAATACTAAATCTACCTTAAAAGAATTGTGAAAGGGTCTTCTCTAAATGGACAAAAAAGTAAGAATCTATAGGAAAGGGAAAATCCTACTGGGAAAAGCAAATGTATAGTAAGGACTGAAGATCAACCACTTAAGCCAATATGAAGATTAAAAGACAAAAAACTGTAAAAGCAACTATAACTACAATAAACAGTTAAGAGACAAACATGAAGATACAAAATATGACATCAAAAACACAAAATGTGGGGAGAGGGAGTAAAAAAAATGTAGATATTTTAGAATGTGTTTGAACTAAATTACTACCAGTTTAAAACAAAAAGTAGACATAGTTGTAGGTCAACAATATATAAACCCGACAGTAAACACAAATCAAAAACCTACAGTAGTTACACAGAAACTAAAAAGAAAGGAACAGAAGCATAGTACTAAAGAAAATCATCAAACCACAAGGGAAGAAACAAAAAGAAGTAATAGAGAAAAACCTCAAAACAACTGGAAAACAAGTAATAAAATGACAATAATTACATACCTGTCAATAATTACTTTATGTCAATGAACTAAATG